GCAATCATTCTCATGCTTTATGTTTTGTAAAATTAATTACCATTGGACTTAGCCCATCATTTCTTTTGCTCACGCTGTCTTTTCACCTGGATCCTTCCCATTTCCACTACCTCCTCTACCCACCAAACTGTGCCACTCTATGGTTTCACGTCCACCCATCTTCTTTTGATGCTTTCTACATCATGATTTCCTGTGTATGTCTATGAAGGTTTCCTGTTCCTGAAAAAACTTGATTTTCCCCATAGAATTTTTCACTATTGCTGCTAGAGGCTTGAGTTTGTTCTTCATTTATTTCATCTGGATAAATACCTGGTGTATTTTTCCCTTTTTCCCCCTCTCACTCCAGCTCTTTGCATATTTTGTTGTAACATTTTGCTTTGCCGTTTTGAGTTTTCCTTTTAAATCTTCTGTTCAACTTGATGTAATCATTTCTACCCTCTTCTTGGCCTCTCTACTTGCAAAAAAAAGTAAGTTTCAGGGTCTTTTCTGATATCTGCTTTGGTCTTTTCTTTCTTCGCTGCCTTTTTAAATGACCTTTTGCTTTCTTCATGGATGTTGTACTTGATGTCATCATATGACTCATCTAGTCTTCAGCCATTTGTATTTAATAAATCAAATCTGTTCTTGAGATTTTTCAAATTCAGGCGGAGTATACTTAAAGTCATATTTTGACTGTTGTGTATTTGTTTTAACTGTCTTCAGCTTCAATTTGAACTTTCATACATGTAATTGATGGTCTGCTTCACAGTCAGCCCCTGGACTTGTTTTTACTGCTAATATCGAATGTCTCCACTGTCTCTTTCCACAAATGTTGTCAGTTTGATTTTTCTGTATGCCATCAGGTGAAATCTATGTATATAATGAGCATTTATGTATTTTTAAGAAGTTTTTTACCGTGAATAAATCATTGACCAAAATTCTGTCATGTGATCTCAAGACTCATTTCTCTCACCAAGGCCTTATTTTTAAAGCTACCAGTCCTCCTCTTTTGTTTCCAGCTTTTACAGTCAGGTCACCAATTTTCATTAATGTATCTCAATGTATATTTTATCAGTTTTTAACTGTATAATTTGGTAGAAATCTTCAATTTCAACATCTTGGACTTTAGTTATCAGTGTCAATATTTGGATAAGAGTTGTATTGATATGTGTTCTCTGTATGCCTATGGATGTTGTCCTGTTTCTGATAGACCTTGAAATATTCTTTTTAACAATGACTTCAACCTCAGTCATTTTCAATTTCTTATTGCCAGCACAGCATATTATGTTGTTGTATACCATAGAATTAGAACTGACTCATAGCTGGCTCCAAAGCAGGTTTTTAGAGGCAGTTAATCACACGGGAGGAGATTTCCCATATTTCTCCCACAGAGCAGTTGGTGGCCTCAAACTTTGTGCCTTTGGAATTTCAGTGCAGCTTCTTGCCACTAGGCCACCAAAGCTCCCGCTAGTAGCGCATATGAATATCTAATTCAAAATGAATATCAGTTTATCAGTTTATTTCAGCTAATTCCTAGGATGTTGACTTCTATGAGCTCCATTTCCTTTTTGACAACTTCCAATTTTCATAGATTCATACTTTGTCCATTCTTCATTTTAATTAATAATAGGTATTTGCAGCTGTTTCTCTTAATTTTTAATCTTGCCACATTACAAGTGAAGTGCCATAATTGGGTGAAAGCTTTACTCCGTCTAAGTCAGGTAGATTCTACATGGAGGAACTAGCTTTTCTCAGTCACATTTTGAGAATTCCAACCCAAGGGGCTTATCTTCACATACTATATCAGACCTATTCATAGGGCTTTTATGAAGCCTGTTATTTCAGAAATGGATGGACATACCTGCTTCTTAGTCCAGCTTAGTCTGGAAGCTCCATTGAATCCTATCTATAGTGGCTGTCTCTACTGATGCTTGAAATACTTGTGGTATAGCTGCCAGCAACGAGCAAGACAGACTAAATATTTAGATACAGTTGTACAAGAGTTTTGTAACCTATAAATATTTTAGGAAATGAATATGGTCTATGTTATAGTCCTTTAAGGTGTACTGATATGTTGTTGTTAAGTGTCATCAATGCATAGATGACTCATAGCGACCCTATGAACAAAAGACCTGAACACTTGTATGATTTTCACCATTTCTCCAAGTTAATAGGGTTTCCGGGGGCAAGCTATTTTAGAAGTGGATGCCATTCCTGCTTCCAAGCTTGTTTTAATTGGGAAGCTCCACCAAACATTGTCCACAATGGGTACCCATTATCACATTTGACACATCAGTGTCATAGTGTTTAACATCACAGGAACCATGAGTTACCTCTGTATAGCAAATGGACAGACCAGTACTTTGGCACTTGGAAGAATATTTGACCAAAAACAGTTAAAACCAAGCCTAAGAGCCACAGATTAATTGGTTGCACTATAGTGGAATTTTTGTGAGGGTGACACAAGAAAGAGCAATGTTACAATCTGTTAATCATGAGACTGTTATGAGTCATGGCCAAGAAGATGGCACCTAACTACAATAACATGTTAAACTGCCTAAATCGATGGATTATGATCAACTGAAACATGTAGAATGTAGGGTTGCTCCAGAGGAGATCTGGTGGTGAGAATTCAACTTACACACACACGCACACTACCACAAAATCTCCAAAAGTCCAAACTCACTACCATTGAATTGGTTCCAACTCATAGCAACCTTCCCTGACCTTCCAAAGCTAGGACACTTATCAGGAGGATACTACACTTCTTTCTCCCGTGAAATGGCTTTGTAGATTAGAACTGGAGGATATGGGGCTCTTTATTAGCAGTGCAACATGCTAGAGGGCCCCCAAGGGGAAGGTCTATGATTTGGAAATGCACCAACTACTGGACAGGCTTTATGGAGGAGTTTGAGAACTAGGAGCAAGTGTGTTACATTCTCTCTGCTGAAAAACACATTATAATAATGTAAGTAAACCAGACCACTTCTTGAGAATTCTTGATCTGTGTGTCTGTGCCATCATAGGTTTTAGTAAGTATGTCTCAATGAGTAGCTAAGGCATTGAGCAGGGAGAAGCAGAAGAAAATGTGACCACAGAAATTTTAAGTATATGTTGTTGAGTTGGAATCTACTGATAGCTGAGCCTCCAGCAGGTTTTCAGGGATAATAACTTTCATGCAAAGAGTCTGCCCTTGTTTCTCCCATGGAGCAGCTGCTGGATTCAAACTGTGAGCCTTTCGGTTGGCAATGCAACTTCTTACCACTCAGTCATCAGAGCTCCCTTTCAAGTACTAGGTCTGGTATTGAGTCCTAGCTATCACTTACCTCCTTTGTGATTTTGAGAAAATTCCCTAACCTCAATGAGCCTCATTTTTCTTATCTGAAAATTTTAAAATGCTAATGCATGTATAGATAGATATAGTCTGTATATTATACAAGTACTGACAGAATAGTAGGTTAAATGTTGGACTGATAATCAAAAAAGGTGAACAGTTTGAACCTACCAGTGACTCTACAGAAGAAAGATGAGTAAGTCGTCTCCCACTTACATTTATACCATAAGAACCGGTTGGACGGTTACTATGAGTCTGAAGCAACTTGAAGGCAGTAGGCTTGTTTCTTATTTAATATATATATAAACTTTACTACATCTAAGTCAGTTAAGTAGATTATATGTATAAATAAAATCCTTTGAGCAGGTACTATTATTATTATCTGCATTTTACAGATGAGGAAATTGAGGCACTGAGAGGTTAGAGGACTTGTTCAAGGTCATACACACAGCTATTAAATGGTAGGAATGGTTCCAGTTCAGGCTATGAATATGTAATTAAACCACCAGACTATGTTGGCTCTGTGATTCCATAATTCCTGGATGACTTAGGATATACTTTGGATTACTGTGGTCTCTGAGAACTTACCATTAGCAACCTTTGGTAGGGAAGGCTTAATTTAGTGAAAAGAGCATTAGACCAGGAATACAAGAGACAATGTTATAGCCTTCCTTCTAACATTTGCCAATTGCACATGATTTGAGCATGTTCCTTAAACTGAATCTCACTTTCTACATGTACAAAATGAATGTGGCAATATCTGCTCACACCCCTCACATAGTTGTTGTGGAGACAGATGACATGATGAATGTGAAAGACATCTGCAAGCACTCAGAATGCTACATCAGTATTCAGAAGTAGTCTCGTAGGTAGGAGAGGGGTAAATCAGGGATGCCCTAAAATTGCTTCTGAAAAAATAGTACAACTCTGACTTCAGAGAATTTTCTTTATGCTCATATGTTTCTCATAAATGTCATGTGCACAGCATTTGGGTTTCCAGAGTTTACACTAATCACTTATGTTTATATATACCCGTCTTACTCTGGATCTTCACTCCAGTCTTACCTATTTGATCCTATGATCACATTTAGTTTTATAAGGTCACAGCTATTTTTAAAATTTCAGGGTAGAACTTTACCACTGGCAACCCAATACTCATCTGTACCATAAAACAAATTCACAAGCTGGTGTTTGTTAGTTCTTTTATGCCAGAAATAAAAAATGTTATATTCCTCCTTGGAATTGGATGCTGCCACTGCTCCCATGGATAACACCGATGACTCCAGGGAATACTCTCTCTTCTCTTCCTGTATGATAGCATTCTCCACCCTCGATTCATTAAAGAGACTTGAGTTCTGTATTGGAAATGAAAGTTTCTCTCATAAATTTTAATTACACAAAATCAGAAATGTTTAGAGTGGCAGCATCTCATTCATCTTAACTGGACCAGGACTTCATTTGGCAGAAAGAAGAGAAAGGGACCCATTTGGCATTGTCTGGCAAATTAGGGGCTGAGCAGGCCAAGAATCTGTGTCATGTCTTCTAGCTCAAGTCCATTTCTACTGTGTGACCCTGACTGTTGTATTGAGAAGTTAAACATGCGTGGGTTTGTTTCTTTGCTTTGCATTATTGTTTTTCTTCAAGGAGCACTTTCCCTCCTTAAGTGTCTATCTTTTGTTGCTTATAGACGAAGACTGCATAAATTGGGCGTGTCGAAGGTAACTCAGGTGGATTTCTTGCCTAGAGAAGTAGTGTCCTACTCCAAGGAGACCCAGACTCCATTGGCTACTCATCAGTCTGAAGGTAAGCTGTTTGTTGTTGGCTTTCTATATGTCTTGGAAGAGATGTAGTAAGGACTCCTTAGAGTGACAGATGGTAAGACTTTGGGCATGTTATCAAGAGGGACTAGTCCCTGGAGAAGGTCGTTGCATTTGGAAAAATAAAGGGTCGGCAAAAGATAGGAAGACTCTTGATGAGATGGATTGACATGATGACATAATGATGGACGGGAACACCATATAGATTACAAGGATGATGCTGGATTGGGTAGAGTTCCATGCTTTTGTATATAAGGTTGCCATGTATTGCCAGTGGTGTGCTGTAGTCAGAATTCATTCTGCTAGGATTAGTACCAGACCAGTTAGAAGCTATGAGGAGTCAACAGTGTCCCAAATGTTTGACTTGTTAGATAGCCCCATAATAGCAACAGTTCATCTTTGATTTCATTTTCATTCCTCTATGTCCCTTAGTGATTCACTGGAAGGCCTCCCGGAGACTCAGACCCCTCAGGGGAATGAGTCACATGATTATAGGTGTGCAGGTCAATTTTGCAGAGACTGGTGAGCATTGTACCCTGATAGCTGCAGTGTAGCTGAAAAGTGAGCATCTCAAAATGAGAGAGCTAGCACTGAGGCCCCAGCCCACCTTAATCCTCTCTCGTTAATACAGTAACACTTCAGCACAAGATAAACAGTGAATCATTGCCTAGGAAAGACTTTTTTTTTTTTAATTAGGAAAGACATTTTGAATGATAAAGCTTTGATGCCACACACATGGTAACAATATCCTTCTTGATCACAGTACACGCTGAATGCCAAAGCCTCTGTGGTTCTGATTTTGAAAGTGTACAGGAGGTGCTCAGAAGGATTCCTACAAGGACAGACTTTAAAATGATAATTAGAGTGATCGTCTTGATCAGAATTGGGTAAAGAAAGTGACCATCCTAAGAGAAAAATGTAATAGAAACTTCTTTGAATGTAATCAATAAGAAGAGTATATACATTAAGAGTCAGCATTTACAAGGGTCGAAACAGTACAGCCCAGCCCCTTGTAAATAGGGTTGCTATAGAACCCAGCTCTCAATATGCCCACTCATTTTTATCTATGGTGGTTTTCTCACTATAATAGTTGAGTTGAGTAGTTGTGAAACTTCATGGTTCATAAAGCCTAAAATATTTCTAAACTATTCCTTGATGGGAAAAAATAATGATAACCCCTGATTTATAGTTAGGCCAATTCAAATGACATCAAGTATGTGTTTCTTACCATAATTTAAAAATATTTCCTGGCAAGTTTCATGTGGGTGAATGGAAACTGAACTCTATGTCTCTTTCGTACATACTGGAAAATATCAAGTGGAAAGTTCACCCACAAATCTCAATGAATTATAAAGCTATGGCAGTAAGAAACTGAAACTGATAACTCTAAATTCTTTGTAGAAATAAATTATGCAAAAGTAAAAGGGAGAAATAGGTATATTCAAGTACTGTAAGTAAAGATTGCATTGCTAGAAAATAGCATTGCTGTTACAGCTGGGTAAAATGGTAGCTTTATTTTCTTGTTTGTTATTATGCTTAACCGCTAACCAGAAAGTGGGCAGTTCACACACGTCAGCTGTGCGATGCAACCATTGCATCCAGTTCTACAGGTTCACCATTAACCAGAAATAACTCGATAGTAATGAATGAAGGTTTTGGTTTGTTTGTTTTATTTTTTTATTTCATTTTTGTCTCTGTGTGTGTTTGTGAGTGTGTGTAGCAGTAATAAAGATACTAGGATTCTGGATTCATTGGTTTTGTGTAGTAAATAGTAAACAGAGTCCTTGCAAATGAAAATTATTAGCATTCTCCATCTAGTTTGTTACAAATATGAAATCAATGACTTTTGATACATGCAAGCTGCATTGTTGTTGATTGCCTTTGAGTCGAGCACAACTCATAGCAACCCTGTGAACAAAAGGCCTGAAACCCCTCTACAACTATCAACATTTATCAAAGTTCATAGAGTTTCCAGAGGCATGTTATTTAGGAAGTAAGTGGATGCCTCTTTAGATTGACGTTTCTGTTCCAAGGAAGATTTCACTTTGTCATACGAAAAAGAAAGAGAGAGAGAAAGGGAAGGATGGAGGAAAGGAAGGAAAAGAAGGATGGATGGAAGGAAGAAAGGAAGGAAGGAAGGAAAGAAGGAAGGAGAAGAGGGGAGAGAGAGAAAGAAAAGGGGGTGAGAGAGGGAAAGCAAGTAAAGCAGGAATCTGTAAAGAAGAATGCAGCTAATACTGCTATGGGGGTGATTCTGGGCAGCAGGGCTTCCTTCAAAGTTTCAAACCCAGCAGTGAAATAGATTTTAGAAAGCAAACAAGTAGCACCCTCTGGTGGTAATATTTTAAACAAATCACTGCAACAAACTTTCATATCATAGATTAAATGAAGCAGAAATTTAGTGAGTAGAGAGTCTTTTGAGAGTTTACCTGGCCTGTCTTGGAACTGTTGGCAAGATAAAAAGCCACCTCACTACTCAACTAAAATATTTGTTTTAGTCAATTTACTGTCAGAGGTATTTTGAGAATTATAGCCTGAGGTATGTTTATTTAGCCCCAAATTTGACCCATAACATAAAGTTATACAACTGAAATAGGAGAAGGAGCGAAGTATTTTTATTTAAATGTGTATACTTCAGATATTGGACATTGTACAGAAATATTTACAAGGAAAGATAAATTAGGGATGAAAAGGCATCAACTCTAACCTTTTAAACTGGAGCACATCAAAAGGAAAAGCCTGTACATTCCTTTTTATTGCTGCAGAGCTTGGGAGCCCTCATTATGTTGTGATCCAAACAGCCGGAAAGGGGGAATTTATTTCTGAATTATTGGCAGAAGGTCTTTGTTTTGTTAACAAGACCCATGAAGCTTTTTTTTTTTTTTTTTTTTTTTTGCGGTGGTAAGCTTTGAGATCTTTCAAATTCCACAATGCAAATTTGAACTCAAAGCCAACTACCTTAGTTCTTGATATTAAAGCAATTCCTGATACGTTTGGACAGGAACAACTTAAATTTGTGTTCACACATTGACTTCTCACCACAGCTAGTCCTTGACCTTTAGCTGTCCAGAGTCACCTATCCACCTGGCTGTGGAGCTGAGAGGCAACAGGACAGGGCAGCTGCCAGGGAGCTGGTGTCACATGGCTGACTGGGATTGGCTCCTGAGACGGAGCCTGAGCAATAGGGAGCTTTCCTGAAAACAATTTTTGCAAATTTTATTGCACAGTAGGGTTCTGAGTGTGTGTTTAAGGGAGTTGTGATGTGTAAGGTCCATCTTACCTTGTACTTGCACATATGAAGGAATATGGATTCTTTCTTAAGCCATTATTTGGCTATGGAAAATTAACAATATTCAGGTTCATGAGCTCTGATTGTTGATCGGTTCTACATCTAATGGAGTTCGAGTATATTCATTGTTGCTTATACATTCTCATTTTACTTTGTTAAGTGAAGTAGAAAGTGTGGGAAGTACTTTGGAAGCTTTCCCCCAGCTCATTGTGCATTGTAATAAATTTTTTTTACAGTGGATATTAGTTTATGGCCATAATAACCTGTTACGAGAAACACAGAAAAGGTACCTTTTTTATTATTATTAATTTTAATGAAAGTTTAGAGACTTTGGATTTCCATTCATTCATTGTTGCACTTTTCTCCCTGTCTACCCCCCCACCCCCCAGTTTGCTGGTCTCTTTGAAAAGTAAAAGATAAATTATTTCATTGTTATACAATCCCTCCCCCCAAGTCCACTCCACTATGCAGACTTCATTCTGGATTTCTGCTGTGACAATAATATTTAACCATATATTCCTTTTAAAAAGTTCTCTCCATAATCTATTTCAATGCAGTATACATGATTTATCCCATCTTCCTCAGTCTCCTCCCAATCCTGATGTCAGTCCCATGTTACAACAGTGGCACTATGCAGTATTTGTCCTGCAAAAGGTTCTTTTGCAAAAGGTTCTTTGAGACAATGTAAATTAATGAAGAAAGAAAAAGATAATTTGAAAAAAGATTATACTCAGTAATGCACAGAATTTAAATGAAGTGTTTGATTTTTACAAAACTTCTTTAAAGACTCTTATTATGACTAGTTTCACTTATAAATTGAAAAGGTATGGAGATAGAACACATCCCTAGCGTATATCCTTCCTGATTTTAAACCATGCAATGTTTCCTTGCTCTGTTTTGACTACTGCCTTCTGGTCTAAATATAAGTTTTGCATATGCACAATCAAGTGTCCTGGCATTCCCATTCTTCTCAGAAATAGGCACAGTTTGTTGCGACCCACACAGTCAAATGGCTTTGCATAGTCAATGAACCAAAGATAGACATTCTCTGCTTTCATCCATCAAACATTATCTATAATACCTCTAGTACCATAGCCTCTTCTAAACTCAGCCCGTGCATCTGGCAATTCTCAGTTGACATGCTATTCCAGTCGGATTTGGATAATTTTCAGCAGAATCTTGCTTGTATGTGATATCAACTATCTTGTTAGAGAATTTCCACACTCTGTTGGATCACCTTTCTTTGGAATGGGAACAAATATGGATCTCTTCCAGTCAGCTGGACTGATGGTTGTCCTCTGGATTTCTTGGAACAACTTGGTGAGCGCATCCAGGGTAGATTCTGTTTGTTGAAATATGTTAATTACTGTGCTATTAACTCCTGAGCAGCTTGAACTTCTTCCTTCATTAGGAGGCTGGGCTTGAGGAGGAATGTAGCATCAGAATTGGAGTAAGACTCTTGATTCCTTTTTTTAAAATTTGAGTCTGTTACTATAAATTGTCCTTTGAAATGCTAGCATTTCATCCTCATTTGTTTCTGTGAATTATTTTTCTAATTCCCTTTTATTATTCAGTAGTTTTTCAGTTAGTGCTGAAAACGTCTTCAGTTACCATGCGGCTGATTTTTTTTAATGGTGAGAAAAATTTGTGTTTATAATAAGCCAGCTGGACTCAATTTAGATGATCCCAGTTATGTT